AAAAAAAAAGCTGGGCGGAAAATATAAGGGTCCCCTCATGTAAGGTAATACCGTGGAAACCAAAGTGAATAAATTTATTCTCGAGTAGGATCCGTAGAGACTAAACGTGACAGTCGAAAGTTTATTAAGTTAAATCATTAGATAAGTTATAGTCCGATCCACTGCGTGAGCAGTGTTGTATGTAAATAAATGAGCAACTTAATTGACCTACTACGTAGTTGCTCAACTGGGCCTTAATAATGTTTATTATTACGCATTTGACTATATGCTGGAAACTATGTTTTTAGAGCCTCTCTTACTATTTATGTTATATTATTATCTTTTAAAAATAGATGCGGATAGAAGAAATCTTCTAAACATAAGTAGTCAAAATGGAGATGTATCTGCATCATTTAACACATGTACAAACATACAATCAGCAGAAAACTGTAAAGAATTCTCAGAGACTATACGTCAAATATCTTATGACAATAACGGAGAAAATTCATCTTTTTTTAAATGATTTGCCGGTATTGTAGACGGAGATGGTAATTTCGATTTAAGAAATATAAACAACAAACTGGTACTTAAATCTATTAGAATTAAACTACATGACAGAGATGTCAGAATATTAACTTATATTCAAAACACTTTACATATGGGTAGAATTAGAGCGGATAAAAATAAACCTCATTCTATTTGAATAGTTAGTACAAAAGAAGAAATGTTATTTTTAATTAAGAAATTAAATGGATTAGTTAGACTTAAAGTAGATAGTTTTAAAAAATCCTGCGAATATCTAAATGTAGAGTATGTAGAAGCTAATTATAATATTAGCGAAAATGACCCTTATTTAGCGGGATTAGTTGACACAGATGGTACTATTGTTTATAATTATGCTGGCAATAGAATAGAGTGTAACTTAGAATTTGAAAATAACAAATATACTAGCAAACTTAATTTAGATAATGTTATACCCCATTATAAACCATCTGTTGCTTTTAGAGAATCACATAAGTCTATAACATTTAAATTTCAATCAGTTAAAGGTATGGTTTTTCTATATGATTATTTTATGCAAAATAGGTTATATTCTGACTTTAAATTTTATAGAGTTTCAAAGATAAAACGATTTATAGAAGTTAGAGATTATAAGAATGAAGCTAAAAACAGTACAGAATTTAAAATATATTCAGATTTTATACTGGATTGAATTCAATATAGAAACCCGCTTTGACACAAAGTACCATTTGTCTCCAAAATTAGATAATGATATAGTCCACAAAATAATTTTAATTATTTTTGCATTTCCACTACGTTTTAAGTATGGGTGCTGTATTTGCCTTATTTAGTGGATGATACTTCTGAATTCCTAAAATTTTAGGATTAGATTATAACTTACTTTACTCTAAAGCTCATTTCTGAGTTTTATTCACTGGGGTTAAAAATAACGAAGGGAATAAGGGATTAAATGGTTTAGATGAACATAGGGATATTACCCCTAACAATCATTCACCGGCTCCGCTTAAAAAAAA